TCTGAGCTTTTATGGGGGACCGCAATATGCGTCTACACTGATTAACAGCTGTCACATAACCAAAACATTGGACTCTACGCCTGAATCATTTGAATACAGACCAATAAGTTTGGTTCCGTGTGAATGGCGGGAAGAGTGGTTTAATGGATGTTATATCCGGCATCTATCATGATTCTGAGTGGAGATTGCTTCTTTGGCTCCTCCAACAGGACAGAGAAACAGGAATCGCACCATAATAACGGCGGATTTTCGCTAAATTCTAGGGAAATCAGGGTCAGGATTAGGGTATGATCAGAAGTACCGATGCTTTTGCCACGGTAGTGCTTACAGAGTGATATGCAAGGATTGAATGCCCACAATATGTTTTTTTCAGGAATAAACCTGTTTTTTTTAGGAGTTACCCTATTCATCATATCGACAACCTAGGTATTAGCGAAAAGCCCATCCATATATTTCGACGGTATTCTGCTGCTGAATGACGCAGCTACCAGGAAGTTCTGCTCATAAGTGGGTCTCCTAGTGTTATCTGTGTGCTTTCTGGTAGATTCTTCAGTTTTCGTATTGCCGAATTTAATTTTCATTAGAAGTTAAAAATAATCATACCAGTATTACGAAACGTTTAGAAAGACGAATTATTGTCGTAGAGCCCTTTCATTCAATTAACATTTGTTAGAGCATTCACCTTCTCTACATTAACATGATAAATGAACGAGTTGCAGAACCAGTAGTGAGGACAAGGAAGAGAAGTTATGACATTAAACCACGGTAAGGTTATATGAAGAAAAGGGATACCCAAGAGTCGCAGAAATATCTAAGGCTCGGCTACATGACTGCTACATTGCAAGAGGGCAGGGATAGGGAAACGCACTAGAGGTTAGTGGTTCTGCGCCTCTGTTATAACTGGCTTTGAAAGACTATTTGGAATTAATCTTAACCACTCGATTTCCGAAAACGAAAAACCGTCGTGACTTAACTCCCACATAAAAACTCTGAGACTTTATAAGGCGAACTCGTTCTTCTTCTTTCCGCTTCTGGCCTCTTGGAATTTTTATTTTCCAGTGGGAGAACTGTTAACTGCATGATTTCTTTCATTCGTACGTCGAGTATAACAACATCTACTCAAAATTAATGTCTATACAAGGCGTTACAAATAAGTAATCTTTCTAAAAGGCGGACAGTTGTTGATTACAATTTTGCGTGTATCGCGGTGGATTGAATTAATAGGTTAAATGCTTGCCACTGCGACCTCCAGGCCCTAGCTCCATGTGGACAGAGAAGAAAAGAGGCGCAAAAGTGGAAGGAATAGTTTATTTTGTGCAGAAGTAGTGAAGAATAGGTAGAAAAAAAGTTGACTGGCGAACGAGCATGCGTCTGCATCCGAGCGGGACAGCATGCGAAATGTGTGAGTGGCCTTTGTGCAAGACACCCTTAAAGGTGATTGGCCAGACGGGCGGAGGCAGTCACTAGTGCATACGCAATTTTTAGCGGCCGCGTGAGGCAAGCGTTCGCGTGGATTGGGGTTGCTACAGTGGCAGACGGAGACTTGCAATCACGTGACCTCATGCAT